CATCGACCATGTCTCTGGATGCAAACCTAGCCCTTATGGCCTTGGTTTTGTTGACCCCCACATTACACTTCTTCTGTACCTTCTCCTTAATGTCCTTAATTTTCATTCTAGGGTTGGTTTTAAGTGAATTATGCAACCTCTTGCTCAGTCATTTAGTCTTCATAAACTTCACATTATATTCTCTACTGCAACTATGAGTGTCTACTACCTTTCTTAGTTTCCAAGAATCCTCAATATAAAATTTAGCACAATAATATTCCCATTCACATCCTTCATTACACCTAACCTTAATCCTGGTCTTGTCATTTTTAATGAACTTTAAATTTCTGCCATATTGGACTGCATAAGAGGTAATAGCTTCCTTGAAAGTTTATGTTGTACTAAAGTAGGTTCCCACTTCCTATTTGTTATTGGACATATACTTTTGAAGCTTGAAAATTGGATACTTCTTTCTACTAACTCTACTGCTTTCATCACTATCACAGTCACTTCCTAGATCATCACTTTTATTATCACTTCCTTTGCTATCTTCTTTGTTTGCTTCACACTTTTCTTTACCTTTTTTACTTTCTGTTTGTTCATAGTAAGTTAGGTTACCCTCTTACTCTTCCAATTCAGTGTCATACTCATCAGAGTCATCATCAAATACTACCTCTATTGCACTATCATAATTGAAGGTGTTATCATCAGAACTATCATCATCATCAGTCAGTCTTAAAACATCATAAACCTCACCATCCCTGTGTCCAATATCATCACTTTCAACCTCACCAAACATTGGCACATTATCATCAGTTCCTACTGCATGAACACCATCTTCCCTAACATCATCTTCCCCAACACCATCCATGCTAACATCATCTTCCCTAGTATCATCTTCCCTAACACCATCTCCCCTTACATCAGTTTCATTCAACATTTCCTTAAGCACAGCTTCTGCCTCATCAACTATCACATTAAGGGGTACCTCATCTAACACAACTTCAGTCTCATCATCATAATCAGGCTTTGACAACATGTGTTGAATAAAGACTTCAACACTAAGATGAACCTTATATAGATCAACAATCTCTAATGCCCCCCTTGTCATCAACCGATATATTCATCCCAACAGTAGGATCCCTATAATATATATTCTCTACGTCTGCGTAACCTAGCTCTTTAATAGCACCTATTAATTCAAAATAGCTCCACTTATCAACATCTACTCTCAAATCGGCAATCTCACCTCCTTCGTAAACACTCATGTCCTCAGTAACAAATTCACCACTATGGTGTATTGTAATGTTCAAATATTCATCCATTTCAGACTATGCCATAAATGGACATGAAGATATTAGATTTCAGAAAGATTGATTTCAAAAAACCCTAACTACAAAAATTATAATTTTGTAGAAACTTACCTACGATGAGCAGTGTTGTGGTCGCTTTCACCTTCAAGAATGGAATGTGCCTTCACTTTGCTCGCAACTTCTTCGCAGAACAGAGCTACCAACAATGGTTGCGCTAGGATTAGCTTCAAAGTGTTGGAGATGTGTTCTGATACTATAACTCATGCTTTAACCCATTAGTTTTAAGATACTTTAATCCACCTGGACAGAAATATAAACACGTGCAATGCCACATATATGCCACATAAGATCTACCATTGACTTTGACTAATGGTCCAGACAGAAAGGACAAACGTGGTCCTTTTTAAACAATTAAAGGACCAATATGAAACTTTTTAAAGATAAGGGACCACAATGGATCCCGAGGTAAAGTTAAGGGACTAAAAAGAGTATTTTGCCTATATTTTCAAATACAATACATGTCTAAATTGTATAAAATAATACTCAAATATTTAACATAAGAGAAACAAATAGAGTATGAGAAAATTGTGAAATAAAACAGGAAAAATTAAATATTAATTTGATTATATTAAAAAATATTTAAAGAGAAAGATTGAATAAAATAGAGATAAAACTTGGTGAGGTGTGAAAAATCAAAGTGTTGTTTTAGAGTGAGACAACAAAAATATTAATTTTTTTTGAATTTATAGTTATACTGGCCTAACGAGCTACCGCAACCCATACAGGATAACCCTAACAGGTAGTGTGATTTTTAGGAACAGACCAAATAAGCCATAGAAAATATGAGCTATAATTTTAAGGCTCAAGCCCTATGATTTATCAGGCTTGGCGGATTGACCCATATAGGCTAGTCTATTTTAACGACTCTACTCTGAACACTTTCATGAAGTGATTTCTTTTTTTCCGATTGAAGCATCTTAACATTGACTTGTCAAACCTCTTTGATTTCGACATACATCTATGCTCACCTCCTCCTCTTGATACACTCAAACCTCCACTCTCAATTTTCAAGTCTTTCATCTTTGAAAATTTCTTCAATCTCACAACTGTCTAGTCTTCACCTAAAGTAATATTATATTTCTTACCATAAAGAAGGGCATCTTTGAAGTGCTCAAAGAATCTAGGTAATAAGTTTAACAAGAGTATAATCTTGTTCTCATTATCAATCTTCACCTTAATATTCTCCAGATCATCAATGGTCTTATTAAATTTTGTCAACTACTCTACTATGGATTTTTACTCTACCGTTTAGATTAAGTAGAGTTGTTGTTTCAGACACAACTTATGAAAAAAAGACTTGGTCATATACATACAATATTCAAGTTTTCTCCAGATCCAAACCCACAGTGTTCTCAATACTAACTTTCTTTATAACTTTATCCACGCGGCACAAGATAATGACATTCCTGATCTTATCCATCATCTCGATCTTCATTGGTTATGTTTGGCACAAATACATTGGTGTTTCACCCTTCAACGCTTCAATGCACTTTTGTTATGTTTCACTTGTAGTATCTTCATTTCACAACTCAAAATAGTTGTCTCCAAAAAATTATTGATATCCTATTTACTACCCATGGTGCTCACATGTAAACATAACTCATTTTCCCATGATGTGTGCCACTTATTGTGAAAAAATGGTATAGTAGTTCAAATTACTTGGTAGAATTGTTCAAAGTTTAAACACACTAATTTTTTTTTTATTTATGAGGACAAAGAATAATGACAACCAATATAAATAATCTCAAGCAACACAATAACCTGCTAAGAGTGAAGATAAATACACAATAGGCCAGAAGAAGATAAAAGATAAGACACACAATAACTTGTTTACCTATTTTAATCAAACAATTTATTTAGAGGGAGATAACAACTTCGATTTATTAAACTTCCAAAAATTATTGCAAGAGATTACAAAAATAGTTATTAGAAAATAGTCACATAAGTTCCCAAAAATAAACCATATTTTTATCAAAGTGTTTTTCAATCTCTCAAACTCTCTATATATAAATCACATAAATCTAATATGTTTAGATGACTTTCTCAATCCCCTTTGATATCAAAAAATATTTCCCAAATTCCAAAAATACAATCATAGAATTTCTACTCTCGCCTCCTTAAATTTTTCATATGATTATCCCTTCCTACATTTGTCTTTCGGACTACGTTTTAAAAGTTGTAAATATAAAAATGATATAGATACATATTTATGAATGATGAAACTCAAATGATTCTTAAAAGACTCAAAATACAACTCATTAACGGTTAAAATAAAAAAGATTATAAATATTTTATAATATCAATTATATTAATTTAAAGATTTTAGAGTATCTCTTAGTATCTTAGAGTATCTCTAAGTATCTTAGAGTATCTCTAAATTAATATAAAAAATATTTATACAAACAAATCTGCGAACCGCCACTTGTTAGACCCACCATGTTGTCCTTCGACTGTTGCCAGAATCCGATCGCTGGACTATCTCTACAACGACTCTCGGCATGGTTGCTAGTTGCCACTTGCCAGACCAACACAACTCTCGGTGTCTCCTGGCCACCACTCGTCTGACCTCCCCCAATGCCTCAATGTCTTTGGTCGACTTTTTGACTACTTTTTGCATTCTAATTTCTGACGATCTCAAAATATTATTTTCTCTTCATTACTCAAGATTTTAAAACATATTTATACTTCACTCACTTAAATCAGATCAAAACTTTGTCTTTCAACTAACACAAAATAATATAGATATTTATCATTTCAACTTAGTTAGGTAGACACTCATCAATTAAATCAATTTAACATCATGTTACTTTTTATTTTATTTTACTTTAGAATAAATTAAAATTTAAAATAAATTTTCAAAAATATTATCAATAGTCAATTAATACTCATCTTTACTACAAAATTACAATTAATATATTTAATTGTTTCAAACACACACTCTAACACTTCCTCTGGATATTTAAAAGAGAAAATCACACTCACAGTCACATACTTTGAGATATATTAAAATGATACAGACATATCATCTAATTTTAAAATACACATTAATTTTCTTTAAATTTAGATATAAAACGAAATAGTCTAATGAGTGACAAAAAAAAAACATAGATAAATATTATTTATATGTAGGATTTTGACTACCTCTAAAAATTATTAAAGGAATTTCAATGTTGTTTTATTAAATCTAGTAGGTTAGGGTATAATTTAAAAGTAAGTAGGATGTGTGATTGTTGTTTGTTTTAATAAATCTTATAAAGGAGAAATCAGCGGAATGTCAACGGTCTTTCAAGTTGACGAAATAAGAATCTCAAGTAAGTTGAATTGCTGGTAACAATCTAACACTTGTTCTCTATTATCGGTAACAGACACCATTCTCTGCCACAAACATTCTTTCAAAGAGGCGGTGGCACCATTTATGGCTCTCACTCACCGTTCTGCACTTGAGAGATCCCGTACTTTCCACTAAGAGTTTCTCCCTCAGTTTATGTACGATTATTTTCTGGCTACAAGGTTGGGTTTTATTTGGCTTCTACCATCTAATTGCTATATTTTGTGGTTTGAATTACAACATTGATGGTGATCCTAAGTTGATATAGTACTTGCTTTTCTTACCTATTTTAATTCTTAGCTGTTTTTTTATTCATATCCATGTTGATCCATTTTATGACTAGTTGTATGATATATTCATATTCGGATGTTCCGTTAAGGATACAAAATGTTTCTGTTTGGTATCAGAATGCCTTAATAGAACTAATTACTTATTTTATTCATACATATCAGTCAAATTACCATGTTTTTATCCTTTCTTTAATGAATTGGAGTCCTCATTATTTTCTATTTTATATTCCACATTCCAAGTTACTGTTACTTATATTTATATAAAAACAAAAAATTGGCTACTTGGTCATGGCGGCTGCATCACTGACTTATTCTGCCCATCCTAATTCAGTGTTCCTTCCTTTCCATTTCTCTTTACTTGAATTCCACATCTTATGTTACAGGCAAGCTAGTGCTATTCTGGTTTTGTTTCCCTCTCAATATGGTAGTCAAAAACACAAACCAAATAGAGGAATCCACTAATTTCACTTCTGATTTCAAAGCTGAAGTTAAAGCTTTTGATGATTCAAAAGTAGGTGTCAAAGGTTTGGTGGAGTCCGGGGTTTCAAAGATCCCACACATTTTTCATACTGGGAAATTGGATATTGGTGAAAACTCTGCTAGTGACTCCAACTTGAATGTTCCCATTGTAGACCTCCAAGACATACAGATCAATCCAACTCTGCGTGCGGAGGTAATTGACCAAATAAGAAGTGCTTGCCATGAGTGGGGATTTTTTCAAGTGATTAATCATGGAATTCCCGTCACTGTCTTGGATGAAATGATTGATGGAATCCGTAGGTTTCACGAACAAGATGCTGATGTAAGAAAAGAGTTTTACACTCGTGATATAAAGAAAAAAGTTGTATATTACTCCAATGGAACCTTGTTTAGTGGCCAAGCTGCTAATTGGAGAGATACATTTGGTTTTGCTGTGTCTCCTGATCCTTTCAAACCAGAAGATATACCACCAATATGCAGGTAAAGTACTAACCATTAATTTGGATTCTTACTCTCCAAATCATAACCAGATTTTACAATTGTTACATTACATGACATGTAATCATGTTAATTTGAATTATTTTAACCGTTGACGAGCTAATTTATACTTGCAGAGATATTGTGATTGAATATTCCCAGAATATAAGAGATTTGGGTTTCAAGATCTTTGAGTTGTTGTCGGAGGCACTAGGACTTGGTCCTTCTTATCTCAAAGAGTTGAATTGTGCTGAAGGACTCTTTATTTTAGGTCATTACTATCCTCCATGTCCTGAACCTGAATTAACTATGGGCAGTTCCAAGCACACTGATAGTGACTTCATCACATTACTTCTACAAGACCAACTTGGCGGTCTTCAAGTTCTTCACGAGGATAAATGGGTCAATGTTCCTCCGATACATGGAGCTCTTGTTGTAAACATTGGAGATCTTCTACAGGTAAGTATTAAAAGCTATTGTTCGCTCTTTTCATTAGCTGGAAGCCTGGTATGAATTTTTTAAGGTTATATGTTTTGAAAATTGATGTTGATAATTGCTTCTACGTTGTAACAGTTTCATCAATTTCTTTTATACTGTTGTGTTGCAGCTTATCACAAATGATAGGTTTGTTAGTGTTTTTCACCGAGTCTTATCACAGAACATAGGCCCAAGAGTTTCTCTTGCAAGCTTCTTTGTGAATAATTCTGAACCAATTCAAGGAGTATCGAAGATTTATGGTCCTATTAAGGAATTGCTTTCAGAAGAAAACCCTCCAATCTACAAAGACACTACTGAAAAAGATTTCTTGGCACATTTTAATGCAAAAGGCCTTGATGGAACTTCTTCCTTGGAGCCTTTTAAGTTGTGAATGCAACATGTGAAAATGATTGTACTACTGGCCATGATTTATCTAAATAACAAGTCACATTCTCTGTTTGTGCTTTTATATGTATCAAGTTTCATAGACTGAAACAAATGAATTATATATGCTTGTAATATTTTCTAGAATAATTAGATTGAAATATGGAATTATAACCAAGAGGAAGTATGATTGATTTTTCCAATATTTAGTGACTTGTTTAAGTGCATAGAAAAACTTCAATAATTTTAAAATTTATTTAGTAAGAAAAGGTTTATTGACTAACTAATTACCATGTTGATTAGCTAATAAACTACTTGATTAACTTAATTATCTAATTATTAATTAGCCATTCAATAAATTATTTTGTTTAATTTAAATGATTAACAGTAAAAAACGTCATATACGAATTTATAGAGTTCACAACAATGATCAACAACAAATATTATCATCAGTCAACACATAATACTCATTGTCAGCAATTGAAGGTGGAGGTGGGTATCAATGGAGTCTGTTGTTACAAGGCGTTGGAATTGGGGGATATTGGCTTTCCTTTGAACCTGATTTGGGTATACAGGTAAGGTCCCAGGTAAGGTGAACTTGTTTGCCCTCTTTTTGAAAACTCATTGTCAGCTTATCATAATAAAACATAATGGGAATTTCTTTTTCCGCCCTTAGATTTTTTTTAGAGGTCTTTAACGAAATTCTAAAAATACTCTTTATTTTCGGATATATATCTTCAAAGTGACATTTATTCCATAAAAATTTATAAAAAAAGATATTTTTGAATATGCATATCCAAATAAACCTTATTTTTTATGAAAAAAAGTAATTTTAGACATGCATTTATGAATTTTACTCTCTTATAAAAATTTAAAAAATATAACTAAAAATCAAATAAAATTAAATTAAGTGTTTATGAATTTTTTCGGATTTTTCGAAAGTACGAAAACGGAAAATAAATCAAATAAAATAGAAAAACAAGAAATTAAGGGTTTTTAGAGTGAGATCCCAAAATAAGGGTTTTGATTCTTGATTTTTTTCGAATGAATTGACACGGTAAAATTTTAATTTACAGTCAGTTTTTCAGAAAAGTGAGTTTTTTACATTAAGTCGCGTAAAGATGAGAGACACACGAACACAAGGTCTAGAACACCAATATTATTAAGTTAAATTTTATTTTGTTATAAAATATATCAATTAATAAAATTGATACACCTTATTCTAATTGATAAAAATATTAAAATACTTCGGATATGCATATCCGAAAACCATTGAAAATAAAATATTGAGATACTTCAAATATACATATCCAAAATCCCTAAAATTAAATATTGGATGCGTTTGAATATACACATCTGAATGATATTTTCGAATTTTCAAACGTATTTTTCATTATATAGGAATGACTTAAAAAATTTTCAACATAATTTAGTAGTTTTCAGCCATTTGACTCCAAGTACCAACTCCGTCTCACTTAATGGTCAGTATTGGTAAAATAAGTATATTTGACCCAATATTTTTTACAGGGTGTGTCGAGGTTTTTGATTTGGTGGTTTAAATTATCTCGCATCGCTTAATCTGTTTTAAAAATGTAATGGACGGGACCAATTTTTGCTTAAACTTTTTTCTAAACTGAGAATAAAATTGAATAGTGCATTGAAAAAACCAATCCACTATTTTTTTTCTTCGTTTTATTGATAAAAAATAAGAATTTGAATACTTACGTCTAATATCATAATGAATTGCAAAACTTGAATTCATGTTGTTTTGTTTATAATAATGTTGGATGAAAGTTACAACCATGAAAATCAATAATGTAGGAGAAAATAATTAAAAGATTAAGAATTAATGAAGTAATATATATTTTTTATTATTGTTTAGTAAAATACTACAACTTTTTATATATTTTATTACTTATTGACTCTTTAAGGCATGTATTATTTGGATGGGAATGTCATATGACTTTAAAGTTTGTAAGTAGTGTAGTAAATCAAATTTTAAATAAATTATTAAATTATTAAAAAATTATAAATAAAGTAGTATATTAAATTGGGAAAAAAAAAGTTTTGCTGGTCGATTTGCCAACTTATTAATAAACAATGCGAGTTTGACTTTTGAGTTCAGACATCTAAGTTGATTCGTTCCGTTCCGCCTCGCTTTTAGATGAGCTTAAATAAGGTGGATTTAAACGGGGTGAACCGCCCATTTTGTCACTACTATTAATGATAACACAAAATCATCAATAGTAAATTCATATGAGCCCAATAATAAAGAAATTTGAAAACAAATGGTCGCTTTAATTTAAAGGTCTAATTTATAACACCCCCAACTTTTAAAATTGATTATTTGATGAATTATTAGAAGTATTTGTTGATTATTGACGAATATGTGATGTTGTGTTTATTATGACGTGTATGATTTGTTGGTATGTTGTTGTATATGATGTGGGACAATATGATGTGAATTATGGTGATTAGATGTACTAGAATAATTTAGATAATATTTAGTAATTATTTAGATTATTATATTTAAGAATAGAATAATTAAAATATTAGGAGGAAATATTAGTAAGGGCATGATGGTAATTAGTAGAAGAATGCTAAGTGAGGACAAGATGGGTAGATATTAGGGGTCCTTTTTGATAAACAAAGAGAAGAGAGTATATTTTGGTACGATCGTGAAATTGGGAGAAAAACTGACATTGTGGAGAAAAGAGGTTAGGACACAAGAACACAGAGGGATTCCGTAAGAATGCAAAGAGAAAGTTGATTGATGTTATAATCTAAAGTAAGGGGTATTTATCTGATTATTATATTTGATCTAAGGCTTAGATAGTTGTAGGATTGTCTTAGGTTTTGATAGATGGGGAATTGATAAATTGGTGATGAACAATGACTTGTAATTGATGTATAATTGATGTAGTATCATAGGATGTCAATAGATGATGAAACCATGTTATTAGATGATGTTTTAGGACCTGTAATATGATGAAATTGCATAAGAATTGGACTGGTGTAGTGCATAAATCGCAACAGAAAAACCCTGTTCGCACTATGTCGCCGGGCGACGATGATTGTGTCGTCGGGCGGAGGTTGTGTCGCCAGGAGAGCGATGGGGCGATGGAAGAGGTGAAAAGATGAAAGTTTCTGTAATGCGTCGCTTTAAGCGTCACCGAGAGAAGGGTGGCGCGAAAGTAGCGTCGCTAGGCGACGGAAGTGTGTCGTCGGGCGATGGATGACAGACTTAGTTGACTGAATTGGATTTCTTAAAAATGCAATAACTTTAGTTCTAGAGCCCGGTTTGAGGTGCCGTACAAAGCAATGTATAGATAACGCGGTGAGCCTTAGTTAAATGGAATAAAATAAGAACTTAGGATTATTGTGCCAATACCTAAGTTATAATAGGAATAGGTTTCCCCATGTCGAATCGCGATGATGATTTATTTATAATGATGGTGTTCGTTTATTATGATGATATGATAACGTGATGATGTTGTTCTGTTGATGTGTGATTATTATGATGAAGTTCTCTTATTATGATGATATGATGATGTTGACGACTTCGTGAACGATGATGAATATGACTAGTTGTGGTTATTTTATATCTGTTGTTGCGTATCATGCATTCATGGTATAATTTGGACAACTTTGGTTCTCTCATGTTGATTCATAATGTTGGTCCAGTGTTGGTCTTAATCCCATTGTGTGGATTGAGGTGTTGATGTTGTGCTCCGGTTCCAAGAGGGAATTGATCCTATTGTGGGGATCTTTGAAGGTTGATGACCCAGTTCCCATTAAAAGAAATGGTACCACATGCATGAGTCTATGTTCTTGCACTACATCTTATGTGGCATTGCATAGTTGTTGATTTTGATGATGTTGTATTATGCTATTGTATTAAATGACAATGTTGTTGAGTTGATGTTATGATATTGTTGGCTTATTCTACTATGTATATTCCTTATGTCTTATATATTGATTATGATTTACTCACCATTTCTGCTTGAATGTTGCCTCTATGTGAGTAACGTGCATGTGATCAGGAGTAGTTCTTAAAGGCCTAGAAGAATAACTTTGGAGTGGGTCGTTTAATTCTGTTGAGTCTAGAAGGTCTTGCTCTAATATATAACATCGGGACGGGGACGTTTGATTTTGCAACTATTATTTTCTTTGTTTTATTATGAGATTTTCGAACTACCTTTCATGGAGTTTAAGTTGTTTTGAATTATGAACCTTGAATGATGCAATTTCTATGATGTGTTTTAATAAAGGTGTTTTGAACTATGATTCCGCTGCAAGTAAGTTGAAGTATTATGGTTGTTATTTAATGAAGCATGCGTCATAAATGATTTTGAAAACCCGTGTTATGGAGTAAGACATGCATGCATGTTGTTCACGAAGCATGTCACACCCTCTTGTTGAAATACTCTAATTTATTTAATTGAACATTCCTTGGAATTTAGAAGGGTGTTACACAACTGGCGAGCAATTTGGTTTTGTATAAAAATATTGTTTTTTTTTCTTTTTAACTTCTTGAAATCTCTTAAGAAAATTTTACCATTGACAAAAATGTTGTATAAATTCAAAAAAATGAGCGTGTTTGTGAGATCACAGAATTGTAAAAAGAAAAATTGTTTAATTCATGAATAAAAACAATGAATTAGAATACTCTATTAAACCAGATCAAATTCGACATGTTACATGTCAAACATCAACAACAATTTTTAATTAAAAACATCAATTAAATACAAACAAGATCATAGGTCAGACAAACTAGTTAATTCTTCAAAGGGTCTAATCATGCATGACACGATCTCATTAAACTCCCTATGACGAATAAAGCTTGAAAAAAATAACATGAAAAAATATGAATAAGGTAATATCTAACTTGATCGATCCTTTGGTAATATATAAACCAAATATTGAGAATATAGTTCTCACACTATCGTTGTTTTGAAGTCGCATGTTGGTTAATTGAACATGTCTGTCATCACCGATTGACAAGAC